ATATATATATATATATATATATATATATATATATATATTACCATAGACATTATTAATGCTAGCAATATTTAAATCTTCATTCATTTGGTGATGATGAGTCACCGAAGGAATATCGTGTAGTAGATTACGGTATATCAAAGACCAGTCTTCAAAATGTCTTTACCGTGGATGTGTATGAAGGATTTTGAAGGGTTTAATAATTACAGCTAGTAAACCAGACCTTGTCGTTTGCAAATTCAAGTTAAGTTTACTACAACAACACATGTTTAACACATAATTTTATTCAAAAAAATGAATATTGCGTCTTTACCTTAAGACTTTATCAATGTAACTGAGAATGACTAAAAATATTTATAATGGGGAATGAGTTTGTATCCAAATGAAGTTCTCAATAATATTGTAAAATGCTTTATAAACTTTAGCCTAGCATGCACAGACTGCGTCGGCCAAGGCCGCCAAATTTATTTCTACTCTCTATGGGTGCTTGTGCGTGCATTTTTAAAAAAATAAAACAATCTGAATTGGTAAAGATTTCTTTTTTCTAATTTAATCGTTTTAAATATAAAACACAAGTTTATATACAAACAAGTACAAATATTTAAAATTAAAACATGAAAATATGGTGTGAGTTTCAAACTAAACCAATTCAAACCCCAGACCGTCTTCTTTCTCACATCTTCAGCATCTTAAAGCAATGGCAGCGGGAGGTGGAGGGGAAATCATCGCATCTGATGGCCAGACCAATAAAAAAATGCTTCCGGCGCGCCTGTCTAATAAGACTCTTAAAATTAAAAACCACTTTTTTGTGGTCCCAAATTAACGAATTTTTTTAAATTTTTATTATTCTAATTAGAGACCAAAACTATTAAAGACCATTTTAAAAAGCCCTGTCCCGAAAGTGGGCTTTAATTTGAGGAAGACCTGTACATTTACAACGCAACAAATTCAAACAATAAAAAACCACCTCATTATATTATTTTAATAATATTATTCCATGCTGCTCTCTTATCGTATATAAACTTGTGTTTTATATTTAAAACGATTAAATTAGAAAAAAAAAGTCATTGATCGAGTTCATAGTCCACATTTCAAGCGCCCTGAGCATCTTACTTTAGATGGATTTGTGCGCTATATAAAACTACACTATTATTATTATCATGTGGTACTAATAATATATTTCTCCCTCAACATTTGGGTTTCTGGAAGAAAAACAAAGGAAAATAATATTTTGATAGAAAGATATTTGCATTACCGATATATACGGCTATAAATTTCTTTACAAAGCAGAGTATTTAATGAACATTTGCAGTGTTCTTTATAGTCGAATTATTGAGTAATTATTCCCCTGTCGTCCACGGATTTCTCTAAGAACACGGGCGTCCGGGCGGACGCGTCTCTGGTTGCTATATGCTCCGGACGCTCCGGGCGTTTTTTAGTAGAGGACCGTTGGGGTCAATGGGGTCAGGACCTTGCACGGATCAAAAAAACTTTAAGTTACAGCAGGTTACAGGAAATACATAAACAGATAAAACACAAAAATACAAGCATGGATGGGTACAAGACAACACATTCCTCCTGCTGCATAAGACAAACATTTAAAATAATTTTTAATCCAGTTATTCGCTCTCACAACAGTAATAAATGCAGTACGACACCTATTCATCAGAAGAATAGTTTATTCTGTCTACATAGTAGTATATTCTCCTGGCGACTATGAAGCAACTCAATCGAAACGTCAAGACACAACAAAAAACACAATAACCATTCTATTTATGCTACGGTGGTGTAGCTCAATGATTTATTATTACGCTGTTAATAGACACAGATAGTGAATATTCATGATATTTAAATAGTGTTCGTAGTGGCCCTTAAAACCTAACCGCACCCAGACAACGTAAAACCTGAAGATCTCGTTACGTTGCGTTGCAGCCATGCCTATAATTTTATATTACCACCCCTTATCGCAGCCGAGTCGTGCAATCGTGCTGTTTTGCCGACTGAACAAAATAGATCATGAGGCCAAGGTGATCGATTTAATGAAAGGTATGCAACTTTATTATTGTACAGTAATACATCAGTACCTCCATGTACGTGTTATGTCACTTTCTTTCCGTTTATGGGTCACACTAGACTTGGCCGCACAAAAGATAAAATTACTGAACTAAGCCATTACCGTCCTAAGCCATTATTTAATTAATCTGACCATCTGACGTACAGTTTAGGCAGACGGGTCTCTCTCTAATTTAATACCACTCAAATCATAAGACCACCTCCAATTAAAAAACACTTTTCTGTAGTCCTATATAACATGTCTTATATTTATTATTCTATTTACAAGAACCAAACCATGGAAACCCTCTGGTCCCAATAGTGGTATTTAATTGGAGGAAGACCTCTATTTTGACTGCACAATCGGATCATGTATTTGGAATGGTCGTTGTATCCGGATTACTGGAGCCTGAGACATTAATGTCTCAGCTGATATTACAATGACTTATGTGTTGATATACATTATGTCAACTAAGTAATTATATTTTATATTTAGTTGTATTAGTTCTTTGGTTGTATTAAAGACTCTTTTACTTGTCTAATTATATGGTTTTCTCCGTTTAATCCACCCCCCCCCCCCAGATTTTAAGGGGTCTGTTAGTTCCTGTGACCACTCTTTGCTTTACTCTGTACTTTAGCTTGGACTATTGTTATGTTAATGAAGATCTCTTATGACAGTTCATTCTATACTGTACCGGATTTCTGTTTGTTAGGAACTTCTGTTATTTTAGTGTGGCCCATTGGTCTGTATAATTTACACATTCAACTGGTGCAATAGTAAGGTCACAGCTTGTTGACATTTAGCGAGTAAAATGATTCTGAAGATTAAACCACAGATTCTATTATAGGTCTGTGATTAAACGCATAATCGCTTTGATTCGGTGTGGTCAGCAGGGAGGCGACGTTCATCTGAGCAGGTCCAGTTGGTTACCAGAGCGGATCCAATTGTAAGGGCCCAGGGGCAGATCCAGAATTTTTCAAAGGGCGGGGGTCGCACGTCAGTTTCGGAATAGATAAGTGAGAGCACATAACATTGATATGCATTGAAATCTTAAACATTTAGTGGCAAAACTGGGGGTCCCCTACTAGATCGACAGAGCGACGGGGACGGCAGATTATCTGCTATAGGTTTAAATTTAAGACATAGGCCTACCAATGCGATGTAGGCCTACTGAAGAAAATAATAGAATACAAACACAAACTGTTCCAAAAATGGCTTCAGGCCCGCCGTTATGCAATTACTGCAGCGTTTCCCACTTACATTAGGCCCTGTCTAGCCTATATTTACTGTCTCCTCCCCTCCCCCCCCCCCCGCGTTTAAAAAGAGTCATTTTTAGGATTTTAGAAGTTCGAACGTTCGGATAGACATATCAGCATTAGAAGACCCACCATACAAAAGTAAACGAACTTAGCTAATAATAATAAAGTTTTGTTTCATTAACTGTTTAAGAAAAGGTTAATGTAACTTTTCATTACGATATGGCTCAATGTGTTTTCAATAATAATAATTAAAACGTTAATTTTTTAACAGACGAACATAAATCGCCCGAGTACACAGCTATCCAGCCCTCACAAGTTGTGCCAGCAATCAAAGATGGTGACTTTTGTCTTGGAGAAAGGCAAGTAATTATAACAGAGTGTGAAATATGCTTCAGACATGTTAAATGATCGAGACGGGGGAAGCTTTTTTAGGGAGCCGGGCCGGGGCCAGACATTTTAAATGGTGGACGGAAAAGCTTTATTAGGGGAGAGGGGCGGCGCACCCCCTAGATAAGCCACTGGTAATATATTCTTTTTTATGACGTACAGTATGCGTTGTTTAGTTTTACATTAGCGAAATGTTATAAGTCTTCTACAGGTCTCCCTCTAATTAAAGACCCCTCCAATTAAAGCCCTTTTCCAATTAATGACCACTTTTCTGTGGTCCCAAATTAACAAAGTCTCTTATTTTTTTTGGTTCAAATTAGAGACCAACCCAAAGCTGCAAAAGACCATGGGAACCCCGGTCCCAGAAGTGGTATTTTAATTGAAGGGAGATCTGTATTGGTAAAAAAATGGAAATGGGGTACATTCATTTTTAATTAATCGTGTATATGTTTTTCTAGCACTGCCATTGTAAGGTATCTTGCGACCAAGTACAAGGTAGCTGACCACTGGTATCCAGCTGACCTCAAGGCTAGGGCACGAGTAGATGCCTACCTGGCCTGGCAACACACCGGTCTCAGGAAAGCAGGCTGCGATGTTATGATAAATGAGGTAAAATAGCTATTGTATTGTATGGTCCAGCTGGTTACCAGAGCGGATCCAATTGTAAGGGCCCAGGGGCGGATCCAGAATTTTTCAAAGGGGGGGGGGGGGTCGCACAGCAGTTTCGGAATAGATAAGTGAGAGCACATAACATTGATATGCATTGAAATCTTAAACATTTAGTGGCAAAACTGGGGTCCCCTACTAGATCGACAGAGCGACGGGGACGGCAGATTATCTGCTATAGGTTTAAATTTAAGACATAAGCCTACCAATGCGATGTAGGCCTACTGAAGAAAATAATAGAATACAAACACAAACTGTTCCAAAAATGGCTTCAGGCCCGCCGTTATGCAATTACTGCAGCGTTTCCCACTTACATTAGGCCCTGTCTAGCCTATATTTACTGTCTCCTCCCCTCCCCCCCCCCCCGCGTTTAAAAAGAGTCATTTTTAGGATTTTAGAAGTTCGAACGTTCGGAAAGACATATCAGCATTAGAAGACCCACCATACATAAGTAAACGAACTTAGCTAATAATAATAAAGTTTTGTTTCATTAACTGTTTAAGAAAAGGTTAATGTAACTTTTCATTACGATATGGCTCAATGTGTTTTCAATAATAATAATTAAAACGTTAATTTTTTAACAGACGAACATAAATCGCCCGAGTACACAGCTATCCAGCCCTCACAAGTTGTGCCAGCAATCAAAGATGGTGACTTTTGTCTTGGAGAAAGGCAAGTAATTATAACAGAGTGTGAACTATGCTTCAGACATGTTAAATGATCGAGACGGGGGAAGCTTTTTTAGGGAGCCGGGCCGGGGCCAGACATTTAAAATGGAGGACGGAGAAGCTTTATTAGGGGAGAGGGGCGGCGCACCCCCTAGATAAGCCACTGGTAATATATTCTTTTTATGACGTACAGTATGCGTTGTTTAGTTTTACATTAGCGAAATGTTATAAGTCTTCTACAGGTCTCCCTCTAATTAAAGACCCCTCCAATTAAAGCCCTTTTCCAATTAATGACCACTTTTCTGTGGTCCCAAATTAACAAAGTCTCTTATTTTTTTTTGTTCAAATTAGAGACCAACCCAAAGCTGCAAAAGACCATGGGAACCCCGGTCCCAGAAGTGGTATTTTAATTAAAGGGAGATCTGTATTGGGAAAATGGAAATGGGGTACATTCATTTTTAATTAATCGTGTATATGTTTTTCTAGCACTGCCATTGTAAGGTATCTTGCGACCAAGTACAAGGTAGCTGACCACTGGTATCCAGCTGACCTCAAGGCTAGGGCACGAGTAGATGCCTACCTGGCCTGGCAACACACCGGTCTCAGGAAAGCAGGCTGCGATGTTATGATAAATGAGGTAAAATAGCTATTGTATTGTATAGGCCTAAGTCAATTTCAATTCAATTATTCAACGTAAAATTTATTTCTCTTTTTTCATATAGGCCTATGTACAGCTTTAAATAAAAAGGTAATTATTATTAATTTCAGAAGAGAGACAAAAACCCAAAAAGCAAAAGCTTGTGAAGGGCTGCCTGAATACCCCCGCCCCCATAAAAAGAAAAAAATAGTCAATAAAATGTAGGGATATTCAAATGGTCAATTACTATAGATCAGCCCATTTGTAGTGGGGATTTCAAAATTATTAGTAATTACATTACAAAGTAGTGTTGCAGAATTATAAGTAATTCGTGTGGGTTTATAGATCAAGGGAAGAAAAAAATTACTATTATTTCCCAACTCTGCTGAATGTCTCTGAAGAATCTCAGAAATTTTGTAATTATTTGTCCGGGACTGTATCTCTGCATTTACAAAGAGGAAGAGCAGTATAATAGATAATATATGTAAACATTAACGTATCACAAAATACATAGGCCTACATCAAATTGTAGAAATGGACATATAAGACATAGCCTTCTTCATACATGAAAATGTAATTGTTCTTACAACTCGATGTAGGTTTAGGGTAGAAATAAATGTACATTTAAACATCTTTGTCATTCTCGCAGGTGTTTACTCCAATGTTTACTGGTAAAAAAGATCAAGAGGCCGTCGACAAGTACGTCAAGATTGCCGAAGCAACTATTGGGAAAATGAACAAGATCTTCTTAAAGGGACAGAGGTTCTTGTGTGGAGAGGAAATATCAATTGCTGACTTGTTCGCAATATGCGAGGTATGTATTACCATGGCACTCAAAGGTCTGTGAACCTGAGTAACATGACTCAACACTTTTTGGAACGACTCCTAGTAACAATTTTAATAATAAATATTTTCTATATATTTAAATTTATTAATTTTGCTAAGAACTCATCTTGTAAAATGTTTTTAGCTTATTCTTCTTCACTTTTACCCATTGCATTTCAAACTGTTGTCTTTTATGAGTGAAATCGTTTAGTATGTTATAGATTAGAACGCTCAATTGGCTTCTCTGATTTTAACGATTTTTGGGAAATATCATGAATGGAGGTAGCACAGTAACGATCTCAATTATGTAAATTACACCAAACCTATTACATTTTATAGTTTGTTTGTTGTTTTTTTTTAATTTTACAAGAAATAATTTCAATTTCGTTACAAAGGCTCCCGGTGTTGGATGACACATTCTTACATTATTACAATTGATTTGACGACTGACTTTTCATTTTAGTTAATACAACCGCTCTCATGCCCGTCTGGCAAAGATTTACTGAAGAACCAACCAGAAATAGCTGAGTGGATGAAACGGGTGGAAGCTATCCTCAACCCAGACTATGACGAAATGAACAAGCAGTTGAAGATGACGTGCGAACAAGCATAACTTAGTGCACATTAAAATTCCACCGAAGTGATACATAGGCAAGACGAAAGTACTAGTAGTTGGTTCATTTTATTTGGTTGCATTTAATGTCTACTCAAGAGATATTTTAACGAGAAATGAAAGATACTTTTGTATTTTGTAAATACTGAACTGCAGTAATACAAATACAATCTATATTGACAACTAAATCCTAAATGGCCTATTCCATGTCATGTAGAGAATTTAGGCAATTATTACAAAATACCCGGTACCTGTACAATGATAGATAAATGCGCCGTAGGCCTAGTATTTTCTAAAACATTAACTGTAAAATTACTTGAAAAGTTACAAGAGAACCAAACTAGTTAATTACTAAACAACAGGAGTTAATGGAGCGTAACTTAGGCCTATACATCATAATCTTATTATGACATTATCTGTAGGCCTGTTTGTTTTTACACAATTTATGTATGTTATAACCTTTTAATTCATAATAATCAAGATTCCACATCAACATATTCACTTTAAATCATACTGACATCTAGACCTACTTAACTGTAACATAGTAATTATGATATAATATGATAGTAGGGCCTACATTGTAGCAAATGCGGGATTTTCGAAATTTTCAAATAAAGCAGTATACTTCACATGTGTTTACTGCTCATTCTTTTATTGAATTTCATGTGTAAACAAGATCACATTGCACACTATAGAATTGAGCAGGCTGTTTTTAACGTGAACTTAAAAAAAAAAAACCTTCTGTCTATTAATTAAATACGGTACAACTGGCACACACGAATATACGACCTCCAGATAACTAGCCTGGCACCGTAACCACTAGACTACCGAACTTGTGCTTAGTACTAGGGTTGAATCCGATTCCCAAGTAGCAGCGGGTACTGCAAATGCTTTTTCGATGAGAGTTTGCGTCAGGAAAATACCATAGGAGTGATTTTTGCCTTACCTGACGTGTTTTCGTACCGAACACTCAGTACGTTCTCAAATACTTGCGAAATAATTCGCAAGTGATTCGGGTGGAATCGAACCCACTACCCCCAGATTAGCCAGGGGCCATAAACAGTAGACAGCCGAGCTTGCGCTTAGTAATGTTGAATCCGATTCCCAAATAACAGCGGGTACTGCAAATGTAGTCTGGAGGTTGTGGGTTCGATTCCCACCCGAATCACTTGCGAATTATTTCACAAGTATTTGAGAACCTACTGAGTGTTCGGCAATTGATTTGACTGACGTTTCTTTTTAGTTAATACAATCGCTCTCGTGCCCATCTGGCAAAGATTTACTGAAGAACCAGCCAGAAATAGCTGAGTAGATGAAGCGGGTGGAAACTTTCCTCAACCCAGAACATGACAATTTAAACAATATAGCAGTATGTTTTCAGAGTTATAATTAGTTGGGTTATTATTATATTATTATTATTGTTTGCATTTTATGTCTGCTTAAGACATCATTCAACAAGACAACTGAACAAGACGATATACAATGACAGAGTTTGCCTATTTATAAACATTATCTTCTTATACGTGCTATCTAATTTAAATAGTAACATACTGTACAAATAAATGTATATTAGGATAATAAAAATAGGGCCACTCTTTGACTTGGACAGTCAAAAATCTTATAATTTCTCTATTTTGTTCACGAAGGAGTTAAGACTTTACTGTAGTCATATTTTACAGAGATAACTTTTAAATTATTTGTTTTAAGTGAATAGGAAATTGTAAAATTATATATCACACCAACACTTCGATAATGAAGCAATTTCAGAACATGAGGTTAAACCTTTACTAATAATAAATGAAGTTTTTTCAGTTTGTTTGTTAGGCCTATCCCATGATATTTTGAAATGTATCTCTTGTGCACTAGGCCCAAACGAATAACCTCCAACAGATGCTTGTCCTGTAGACCTAGTAGTAGTAAGCAAAAAACCTGATGCTGGTGCTGCCTTTACAGAAGATGAAGCAAAATTAAAACTTCTGGAGCTATTTCTGGAGCTTTGTTTAGACCTTGTCGATAAAACTGTGCCAGTGTGGAAACGGTAGTCATTTCTTCTAGGTTTCCAGGCTGTTCCTCTTCGCACTTTGTCTTCTGGTTTCAGTTTAGAAAGGTCTTCCCAACTCTCCTGGAGACAGTTCCTCATCTGTAGACGATAAAGATATTTTCGAATAATTTAATTATGTTTGTAACTTAGGTACCGCTATTGGTTGTAGAATGCCTTAATTAAAAATCAAATAAAATATATATACAGTACGTGGATTCGTCGGCATTGGAGTTTATTAAGGTACGCCTAATGTTGGATGGAGACCTAAAAACAGAACTTTGCTGCATGTTGATGACATCGTGGACCTCCTGCAATTCGTTCTCATTACAAACGTATTTCAGTTTCACTAATATCAAGCAATGCCATGGTAATGACTATGGGGAGCCCGTCAAACCCGATAGTGTTGAATCTACACTTGGAATGGCTGGAAGAACAAGTCATTTCCACAGCAGATGATACTTTCAGACAGAGATTGTGGCTCAGGTACGTCGATGATGTTCTGGCGATTATCAAGAAAGGTAAATTCGAAGAGCTAAACAAGCACCTCAACACCATCGATCCTACAGGTGCGGCAGCATAAAATTCAACTGCGAAATCATGACCGATAGCCTTCCTGAATACGTGGCGCTGCAACACCATATCAAGTCGCCCTAAAGTTTCCTCCTAGCTCGATCCGAATACTAGAATATCGTCGAGGTAGATAAGAACGGTCTGAAAATTTTGGTCACCGAACACTAAATCCATTAGCCGCATGAAGGTTGCAGGCGCGTTGCATAACCCAAAGGGCATGCGAGTGAACTCGTATAAGCCACCGGTTCCAGTTCTGAATGCAGTTTTCTCGATATCACCTTCCTCAACTGGTACTTGGTGAAACCCATGAGCAAGGTCGAGGCTGCAAAAGTATTTGGCCCCTTCAGTGCATCCAGAGCCTCTTCTATCCGTGGCAGAGGGTATGCATCTTTGTGCGTCTTCTCGTTTAGTGCACGGTAGTCCACACAGAGCCTTAGATTTCCATCCTTCTTTTTAACAAGTACGATAGGTGAGGCATACGGACTTGAGGATGGTCGAATCACACCTTTACTTATTGACTTCTCGATGTATTCACGTACCTCATCCCATTGATGCGGTGGGACTCTTCTGTGGGGTATCTTGACAGGTTTCTGGTCATTTAAGATTATCTTATGTTTGACTTCACTGCAAACCCAATGTCATCTTCATCTTTGCTAAATACATCTTGGTGTTTGTTGACCAATCCCATTAGTAGGTTATGTTGCTTATCATCTAGGTCCTTACTAATATTCATTCTTGATATCAGTTCGCTAACAGGTTTGCTACCATTTACTTGAACTTCTTGTAGTTCTGCACTAATAGTTTGGTACTCGAAGTAAACGTCTGGTTCTGGCTGTGCACTAGTGACTTTAGCAACTGGTGTTCTTGGCTGTAAATAAATATCGGTATCTGCAAAGTTTGCTATCTGTAATGGAAGTCTCTTATACACATCTAGATGTGTATAAGAGACAGAATGAAAAACATCAAACAAGCCTTAAGGGGATATGAATGCCCAAATAAGTGATAAAAAATATTCAGAAGAAAAAGAAGAAAGAGAAACACAAAATACCTATAAAAAGTCGAGGCACCGCTGGCTACCTTATATCAAAGGCTTGTCAGAAAAAATAAAGTATACACTCCTTACGCACACAACATAAAATCATTCTTCAAACCAGTCGACAAACTACAGGATTACCTCTTCCATACTAAGACAATACCGAGGATAATGAAGAGTGTGGTGTGATTTGTGAAATAGGATGCCTGAGCTATGATTGTGTATACATCGGTGAAACTCATGAAGTACAAGACCCTACTAAAAGAACATAACAAAAAAAATGTCACTCATAACACAAGTGTGTGCACTAGAGCATTCAGAATCTCTGAATCTGAGCTAATGCACAAATCAGCCATAACTGATCACATGGTCAAATACAACCATACAGCCGACTGGAAAAATGCAAAAGACATAATAAAAAAAAAAGTCCATTTAGCAAAAAAGACAAATTAGACAAGCATTATGGGTAAGGAAGAGAAAGCAAAACTTGAAGAGACGAAGATGCCTACACAGTGACGGATCTGGGGGCAAACAGGGTGGTAGCCCCCTTCGTTTACCATAAAAACAGTCACTCCTCTTGAGGTCTTGAAAGGAAGTCCATCCTAACCCCCCCCCCCACCTCCGCTCGGTGCTTTTCCCCTCCCATTATACACCCCCATTGCTAAATCCTTGATCGGCCACTGCTACACATTATCACATGTATGTCCCAATCCTAGCTCCTGAATATCCACCCGCACCTCCTGACAGGACAGCTGTCAGAGGGCGCTATTGCAGCCTGAATAGCGCCAACAACATCTAACTACCAGCTTCATTGCCTGACGAAAATCCACTAATAGTGGAACGAAACGTAGTATACGTATATCAGTATACGTATATATTTTTTACTTGGTTTTCAATTAAGAATTCTACAACCAACAAAAAATATAATTATACTAAGGTGAATAAATACATTTTTACACGGTTATAAGTATATATTAAACAATTACATCTTTTTTCAATCCCAACAGTGTGTCTCGCATAGACATACACACACACACACAAACCACAAACAACGCAGTAGAAAGGATTAGTAATCAGATTGTTCATTTGTTTGTTTATATCAATTCACTTTACAATTCTTAAAAATATTGTTTCTATACTGTACTTTATTATGAATATATATATATCTCTCTTAAACTTCGATCAAATTTTATCGTATTCGTAAATAAAAACTCAGGGATTAATCAAGAAAATTTGCAACATCCTACCTTCAGCACTAGACAAGTGACGTCACAGTCTTTCACAACTTAACATTTTTTGTATAGTGGAACAGCAGCGGCTTGTGGTTACGCAAGTCTAATACCTTAAAGACCCACTGTCTACAAATTTCCCCAAAACTGTATGTGGTTTTTTTTTTTTTTTTTTTTTTTTAAAAAATATTTTTTTTTTTTTTTTTAGAAAATACGCATATTACGATTAATGAAAATAAACAAAAAATGTATAGTACCTGAAGCCTTCCTGAAGCATGACTCTCGGCTACACTTCCCTATTCGACGACATGAACGGTTCTAGATCAGATATGTTTAAAAGCTAAAACGAATAGAGAAGGAGCCTAGGGGTGTCAGCATAGCTGGAAAGTTAACCAATTTGTGTATGTGTAGTAATGGTCTGTGTACCTGTCTATATGAGAAAATGGACATCTGCCGGTCCCATTGTGGTGGGTGTGGTCAGGAGGGGTGTATAAAAGGGTACCAAAAATTGAGCTAGATCACCTTGTGAATTAACCCAATGAAACCGATCAGAATATATTCGGCATAGAGATATCATGAATGGTCAATTCCAGACATTTCCAATGGTGGGGGTGGCTGCCAGACGCAAAAAACTGGTACCCCAAAATTAAGCTAGTTCAGCTTCTGAGTTAACCCGACCAAACCTACTGAAAAATGTTCGACGTAGTTCCAGGTATCAGGAATGGCCAACGCCAGACAATTTTAATGGTGGGGTGTACCCGCCCGCCAGACACCCCCTTATACCCCACCCCGAAAATTGACCTAGATCAGCTTGTGAGTTAACCCGATTTTTGCCAAACCTAGCGGAGACAACAAAGCCGACAAGGGATTTGCTAGTCAAGAACAATCAGTAGATGTGGGACACGCTACAAAAGAAAGCATTCAAAGAAATATAAAAAAAAAGTCTAACTTCAGAGACGTTACACAACGACTGTCTCTTATACACATCTAGATGTGTATAAGAGACAGCCTGAATACGTGGCGCTGCAACACCATATCAAGTCGCCCTAAAGTTTCCTCCTAGCTCTGCCTCTTATACACATCTTATTGGTAAAAAAAAAATGTAAATCCAATTCCAGAAAGTTGCAATAAAATATGATTTGGTTTGATACATATCGCTTTATTTTTGTTTTATTTCACATAATAAATGCGTATTAACTATAACCTTCCAACTCCTAGAGAGTTCATCCCCCACCCACGCACAGAAAAACGTTTCGGACAGTATTTATATGACGTAACACACACACACACACACACACACACACACACACACACACACACATATATATATATATATATATATATATATATATATATATATATATATATATATATATATATACATTATCTATTTTTTTCGTGCATCGTCCATATTTTAATATGACTTATTGAATAGTTATTTTATTACAATATTGTGCCATTTTTTTACATAATTATTATTTATTATGAATCATGTATTGTTATGTATATTTCTTTATTTAATATTATTTTTTTTTAATTTGTCATTTTCTTATCTAATTTAATAAAGAGTAACTTAATCAATTTGCCTTTTTTTTTATTCAATTGGTACCGTATATACTGTAGTTAACTTGATTTTTTCTTCATTTACCCATTCATTTATTGATCTGCCTAATCTGTACCGTATATTCAAATTGTAATTCAGCCTGTATGTGATTGAATAAACGATACCGACCAATAATACTGTAATATTTCCTCCCACTGTATAGGCCTATCTCAACTTTTCTGTATATTTGTAATACGTCGTATTCTGGTGTATTTTAACCATTTTTAATATTATTACTTTAACATTTCAAATTTCCCTTAAATTTGCAATAAATTCAATCCAACTATGGGGGTGGGGCTGCGATCTGAGTTGGGTGTGACTCACGACGTCTTTCAAGTAGGTAAAGTAAGTACATCAAAGACAATGTTTTAAACTTTTATTTTCTATGCTAGGGAGGATTCAGGGGTGGGGTTACATACGGTGCGATTGATAAAAATAATAAATCAACAATACAATACAACAAATATTTTGCTTAATATAAATTTAGGGGGTGCATACGGTGCAATTGCACCCCCTAAATTGTATTAAGAAAAATAACTGTTGTATTGTATTGTTGTATGGTATTTTTATCATTATGAACATAGCACAGTAGGATTTTTAAAGTATTTCCAGGCATCTAGAAGTCCATATTCTCAAAATTTTTCCACCTCATATCTAACCACGGTGGGGCTAAGGTGATGGTGGACTCCCACGTACCCCCTACCGCCAAATCCTGCACCGCCCCAACTAAAGTACACCACACATTCTATTTAGATCTCTGCCGAAAATCGCTGATAAAAGATCATGATAAATTTGTTGGTGCTTCATTTTGACTACAATTGTGATGTGATGATGACGAATTTCACTATATAAGAGTGTCATTTCCGGCCGTAGAGGTATTCCCTCAAATTTTCGCACCTCAGCCCCAATCATGGTGGGCGTGGGCTCACGGCTTTGAAGTAGACAGAGTAAAGTATTAACATCAAAGACAATATTTTTAAGGTTTTATTTTTTACGGTACAGTACATCACACATTACTAATTAGATCGCTATGATTGCCGAAAATCGCTGATAATCATGAGAAATAATGGTGATGTCAGAATTTTACTATATAAATGTGTCATTTTCGGTCATCTGTGGTACTATTTGTTCAAATTTTCTCACCTCAGACTCAACCATGGTGGCCTGAGGTAGGTGTGGTCTCACGAAATGTCCCCTCCCCAACCCCACCCACCTTTCAAAATAGATCTGCGCCTGTGCTGTGGTATAGTATACTAATAATTAACAATTACCTTCCGTTTTGTGATAGCAAACTACAGTACAAGTTCCAACAGTGTGTGTGACAATAAAGGCTCAAGTTAGGGCCTAGTTTTAGCGACTACTGTCTAGGCCAGATACCCCTATTAAGGACACATTCGGGACCCAAAAAAGTGTCCCCTTATTTAAGGCTGTCACCTGAATAGGGGTACCCCTATTCACGGGACACTAACCAAACATATAAATGTGTCATTTCCAGTCATCTGTGGTACTATTTCCTCAAATTTCCGCACCTCAGACTCAACCATGGCGGGGCTGAGGTAGGTGTAGTCTCACGAAATGTTACAGTTGAATTATAACTAATTTATAACAATAATTTGTAATGCAAAAAATAATTCATTTAAGATATGAAATTATCATATATGTAAATTAAAACTACTATGTTTCTGATATTGTTTTTTTTTTAATTCGAGGGCAATGTTAAGACCAAATATTCTTTATAAACTACTTAGCTTTCTATTAGATGCACAAAGATAGAATACTATTAATGAATGTTAACAACTTAAAATTCAGAATGCTGACTTTAGGGTATAGATTAGAATCATATATGAAAATACACAAAACAAGAAATCACTATGGTTAATGGTCAAAATTTACAAGGTTTTTACGAAGTAACACATGCACTAGGCATACCAATTCTCCTTCATAAAGAAGAAAACAATTCTTGTTTGATGTTAAGTTTATTGCTCAAAAGGTGTCAAAATATATAGTGTCACCTTAATAGGGGATAAATTGTATTTGACCATATTGCACAGACAGAAAGTGTCCCCGTCCCAGAAATAGGGGTGTCTCTTTAATAGGGTTGGATGTAGTGTTAAAATATTTCCCCTCGTTTCACGGAAAAGTGTCCTATTAATAGGGGTATCCCATGAATTGGGGTGTCCCAAAGGAGGGGTTCTACTGTAATTACAAGTGAGAATGCATTTCATTTCATATCCCTTTGTGTGTATGTAGGCTTACAACGTCGAAGCATGGGATTTCCTCACATCCACACAGGCCTATCCGCAATTACTCTACAAACTACTACTAGGTGCATGACAAAAAATCAAAACACACAGTGATTCATGATGGGATTTCTAGCGGCCCGTTGAAATCGACTTATTATCCTACCTATAACTTTTTACCTGTTTATAGGCGAATATGCTGCCGCCATTATTCGCGACAGCAAGTAATGTTTTGTGGTATAGCAAGGGGCCAACAAGGGTATCATAAGAAAATTAACTGATTTTGAAATTTGCAGACAGGGGTCTTTAAGTTTGCGGAAGCATGCTGATGTGAATCAAGCTGAATTTTACCTTTTGTAGTGTTCCAACCTCTGCACTGTTGGCGGAGACGAATTGAAACATTCCTTCAATACTAAGGTAGTCAACTGGCTTTTTAAAGTATTTTACACGTTCCTCTAGTGTGGCCATAGCAGGGATTAGCTCTATGTCTTTTGCATTCTTCATAATATGTTCTCGAATCTTTAACAAGTGTTTACATGATTCGATGATACTTTCTGCTTTATCACGATGCAAGGTTGCCACCTTCTCATCCGCTTTAAATTCTTCGTCAAGGCGCTCTAATAGTATTTTCGTTTTTTCTTTTACGACAGAAATGACTCGATCTGATTCGGCTTGGATCTCTTCCTGAACCTTCTCTTTACTTTCGTGGAGATTTTGTTGCAAACGGATAGAATCACCTACCTCTTTTTCATACACTTGTATTATCTCTTCAAGGCAATGAACTTGATCATTCCAGGTTTCCATTAGAGTTTCCCTAGGAATCGGAAGTGGGTTGATGTAACACTTGTCTTCACTATTTCTTTGGTGAGAATTTAGACACTCCAAACACATCGATTCGTGACAGGTGAAGCAAAATAATTTCAGCATTTTGCTGGTATGTTCTTTGCAGGATGCTTTTGAACGATTAAGGATTCCATCAGTGCAAATTAGCTCTTTGTACGGCACCACCGTATGACCACGAGTTAGCTTCTCGAACTTCTTGTGGTACTCTTCACATTTATTACAAAGATTATCATCGCATTCCAAACAGTGTGAAATACTATTAGGTTGCTTTGACTCTTTGCAGATACTACACTCTAATGGCTGGTTTGCATCCTCTTCTTTTTTCGCCTTTAATAATTCACTCAAGTTCTTTAGATACTCGTTGTCCTCGAAGGATGCTACATTATTCTCGGGAATATCGAATTCTCGGCGACAAACTGGACATCGTAGCGAACTACAATCTGTATTATTGGTCATGAGCTGAAGACAATGCTTGCAAAAACAGTGTACACATGGTAACTGTTTCGGGTCGGTGAATATTTCTTTGCAGATGCCACAAGTAAGCAATTCTTCATCCTCTTCTAAAGACTTCTTGGATAATAACAAATTCGGTTGAGCCATTGTCATCTAAAAGAAACAATTAATATTGGAGTTTGCATCATTTAAGTAAAGATCGTCCTTTTGTGTTTTGTATCTTTTATAGATGCATAATGACATGTAGTCGGTGAAAATGTGGATAAGGACCTTGCCACTCAATTGAGTGAAACTCTTCAACGTGATACTGCGCATGGTTATAAATGTAAATTATAGTGATAACCGTATTTAATAAAGAGTTATCCAATGTAATATTTTTATAAATCGTTTATGGCGCCAATAAGCCTACATATTTTGCAGTGGCATACCAATTAAGAGGCTTGAAATGGAGGGGGTCGGTCTCATGGGGTGATGGTGAAATGGGGGACTCGATGTTATTAAGTAAGGGGAGCTGGCTCACAAAATATGAGCCATAGGCCTACTTTTTTTAATATTTTTTTTATCTGTAATTATTTTTATTAACACGTACTATTGTATTTATTTATCATTACATAAACAGTTAATTACATTCGTAAATTTCTAGGGGACTATTTCACCGCGGTAGTAATGGTATAATTGAAGCATTGTGACAGGTTGCAGAAGGAGGAGGACGACGTTTTGCCTTCGCTGGTAAAGTACATTAATATATAATACATTACATTAATAATAATATAAACAAAATATGGATGCGGCACAAAAGCGCTTCGCATGTCTTTTAGATCCGTAAGAGTGATAACGACAATATTTTAATATAAATTATAATGTTCATATGACCTTCTCATCGAGTAGCCTAAATAAAATCAAACCATTTCCTTCAATCAAAAAGTGACTAAAGCCGGACACTCACTGCGTCGTAGCACGACGAATCCACATTTGCTTCCGGCGAGCGATAAACGACGCAACGCCGTCTGCTGATTGTCAGTGGCAATCTGAACGGATCCTCATTAAAAAGACGATCCGTTGGGTCCGCGTCTTCGCGTGCGTTCTTCGTCGCATTGCCGTCGCACGCAGTGAGTAACCCTAGCTGAGTCTAATATTAGGAGTCGCAACGAGGCCTTGCCAACCTCGAAACCAACAGGAATAGGAGAGGGCGACCGACGAACGGGGGCGGGGGTTGAATTCTGAAAGACGAATCGTACCCACCTGCATGTTAAAGTTCGATAACAATTGATGTTAATATTGTTCTTAGACTTATCATGATTAGATTAATAAATAAAAAATAAATGAATAGAATACGAAATGGGTTTATTCTATACTTTTGAGGATTCCCATAACCACAACCGGCCACCGAGAGGGTGGGCAGGGGGAAGATCCCCGGGGTGAAGCTTACTATTTGATTGCTAATCATACCTTTGTTTTTATATTATTTGGCATTTACAGTCAGATAATTAAGAAAAATTTATATAATAATAATACAATAATTATAATACCCAGCACACAGGGGCATTATTGTTCAGGTGATTTTTGAGGAGCCACTGGTAAATATAGTTCACATAGATGTTAAAAAAGTGTTTTTGTATGGCTTTATGCCTTTAGCAGTTAATTTAATTCCACTAGGGTAAAACATTGATAATTAATTCAATGTTGAAAATGATGTTGCTTTCATTTCATCCGTCCATAGTTACTAGAGACAATTCGAAGGAAAAATTAAACGTCGTAAGCGTTCATTCCTAATGGCCTTTGTTTTTGGAGGGGGGCGTTTATTCGAGGGGCGTTTGTTCAAAGCAGGGCATTTATTTGAAGAAATACTTGAAATTATTAATTGTTATTTAAAACATGATGGATCACAGACAGGATGTTAGCCCATAAATTAATTATTATTAGTCTTTTATGCATTTCAAATTAGGACGTTTAATCTTTTAATTGTGTTTGGTTTCATGTTTTTTAATTGTCTTTGCTAGTTATGTTTATTTTGTGAAAAATAAATAAGGTCCTCCCTCCATGCATGGGGCGAATGGGCAGTGTGAGTGAAATGAATATTACAAAGCCAATTACATAGTCATAGTAAAAAAAAAATATGTTAAAAGTAGTTATTATCATTATTGTAATTGTTTCATAAATTTCACAAGTGTTTATTAGCGTAGAATTTTGTGTGCCTCGCATGACTCGCACTGTTGGTACACGTCCCGCAAGAGTTACATTCATGGCTCTCATGAATTGCATGCCTCGCTGAATGACTCGTTGACTCGCTGGCTCGCACTTTGGCAACCTCATTTTTAACTAGTTGAGCGTGATTTTTTGGCTTCGAATATTTTCAATGCCTCGAGGGCGTACCGTTGGGGTCGATGGGTGCAGTCGACCCCACCTTTTAAAGAAAGTGCCCTTTAAATGTGATTTTTTTTTTAATCTAGCATAATTAAACTGCGCCTAACAAGAAGGTAGTTAATATCAAAATAAATTATCTTTCGCCTAAAAAATGTTTGGTGGCCCTTCCTTTTAATATTTTGATTTTTTGTCTTTTTTTTAAACAATCCATATAAAGTTATACATTTTTAATCAATTTGATTTCTCGAAGCCCGCGCGCCAGTAGAGTTGTGTTATGTGGTGTATTGGTTACGCATCATTACACTCTGCCATTATTGTTTTCTGTAGCTGCGTGATTGGTTGTACGTTGCCTATAACATCAGCAGAGTGTGAGCGTAGTTTTTCAGCAATGAGAAGATTGAGAACATGGTTAAGGTCCAGTATGGCGATAATGAACATACACAGAAAATATCGACGTAAACTATGAGGAAGCATCAAAACTCTTCTTTACATTATACCCACGGAAAATTATGATAACAATTTGATCTTTAAATAAAGAGCTATTTTTTTTTAATGTAAATATTAGGTAAGTTAAATTACCTTTAGTATTTAAGAATGGTTGTCCATAAAAATCAAAGATTTGGTGGCAGACGTCAAAAAATGGATTTCTCTCAAATTTTTACTATGAATAGATACTTGGGTGAAAAGCATATCTATGATATTTGTTTAATTTTTTAGCCTTCGTTGTCATGGCAACGCAGGGGTGGCGCCAGAGGGGGTTGGGGCTATAGCCCCCCGTCGGGGAAGCATAGCCCCCTGTCGGGGAAGACGATAAATTTTGTCGGGGAACAAACAAATAAAAAAAATTATTTACATGTAATATTCGTTTAGCCACCATATCGTTTGTGTTAACTTTTCATCACAACAACAACCACAATAACAATAATAATAATAATAATAATAATAATAATAATAATAATAATAATAATAATAATAATAATAATAATAATAATAATTTAATGAGACTAATTAAAAATAATTTGCGTTCTGTTATGACAAATGCTATTTAGATAGCCTCATGGTGGTTGGAATACATCGTGATGGGTGAAGCAACCTTGACCATGACAACGTGGTTGACAGATTTCATGCAAAATTTTCCAAAATATAGAATTTCACTTTCAAGAATGAGGATTTGAAAATAAATTAGATGGTTACATTGCATACTCTTTGTTTCTTGCTTTATTCAAAATGTTTTGGTTTTGGAAGCTGATGTCAACATTAGAAAGCATAGCCTACATGAAGTCATATTATAGTAACTCGATGTCTATCAAATAATTAATAAAAATTCGCCATAATTCATCAAATATCCGTGGCTTCCAGGGGGCTTCGCCCCTGGACCCCCACCGGGGGCCCTAGGCGGCCCCCTGGCCCCCAGCCAAATGAGACTCGATTCGCTCCACTAGCCCCCCCCCCGTCGGGGCCTTTAGCCCCTCCGTCGGGCAGGTCCTGTCGCCACCCCTGTGGCAACGACCCATTATCTAAATTTTACAGTTTTTGTCAATTTTGGACATTTTTAGAAGTGAAAAAACACTGACTTTCAGACCTTATTAAAAAAAAAAGAACATGCACTATATATATTTTTGTGATCATCCATGTAAATTACCAGGTATTACCGTCCATTTATCACCAAAAAAATTGTGTAAAAAATTATGGTTAGAAGATACCATTATTTACAAAAGGGGGTTTTTCTCAAAATATTTTTTTTTTTTAAGTATGCCTCAGAAACCTATCTGTAACTTCCAAAGTGGTGCATACATATTCACCATCTTCCATATTAATAGTCAATAGTTGTCCAAACAATAATCAAGAAAAAAAAGTTGTGGGTAATTTACACACGTGGATGCGGTATTGCCAGAAAAAAACGGCATTTTTTGAATAAAAAATATATCATTTTTTACTGAATGGATAACACTAGAAATCAACGTAAATTTATTTCAAAATGATGTTACTATAGTTACATAAATAGTCTAACAACATGTTAAGAAATATGTTGCCAGGCTCATTTCAAGTTAGTTAAAACTTAATTTTGTACTGTATTGCCAGAAAACAGCATTGTTTTTATTGAAAATTAAGGTAGGCCTAAATATACATCTTTTTACTGAACGCTATAAAATATAATATAATTCATTAACCAAAACAAATATAGTTACCTTACTAGTTTAACAACATACTAAGTAATGTGTTATAAGGTTTATCAATATGCGTTATTGTTGCCAGAAAAAGCAGCATTTTTTCATTCAAAAATATTGTAAATAGGCCTACACATTTTTTACTGTATACGGAAAACGCTATAATATAAAATATAATTCATGTAATTATAATATTACTATATACATGACTATTATAACAACATATGTTGCCAGGTTTATATCAAGTATGTTAAACTCAATATTATACTGCATTGCATGTAAATCAAACAACTTAATTTAACTTTCTGAACATCAAACAAATTCAAACACCACTCTGACAAAAGCAATCCATGATAAATTCGCTTTCAACGACGAGTTATGATTTTCAACTTAGGAAGACTCAATTTAATTGTTGAATTCACCATGAAAAGTTAATTGTGCCATATACAATTGGATGTTAAAGTTCAACTGTTTAGTGGCATGTGGAGGTTGTTATTGTGATTCCTCTTCGGCAGCTTAAAGAACATCTTCATCTGACTTGTCAACAGTTTAGTAGCCTACAGTATTACTAACTGCGTCTTGACATTTCTCTAGAAAATAGCTTTACATCTTTTGCTCAGA